CTGAGTCTAAACTCATACCGTAACATGAAATTTACTTCACTCCAAATAGGAGACATGAAAAGATTCTCCACGCACCCATAACTTGGGTCTACACATCTAATCACAATGAAAATCAAACACTTAATAGTTCATCTATCATCCTGCAACCCTTCCTCGTCACTTCCAAGTCATATAGATACATCTCGCAGTACTAACATACTCCTCAGGTAGCTATCCAACCATCGTTCCCACTAATAAGGACAATACCAGACATATAAGTTCAAAACACTTGCTTGCACAATTAGCACCTCGGTGCTCAAGCCATAGGCAAAAGATCCGTCCCCAAGTCCTTCAGACTGGCCCAACATCAACTCACAGAGGTCACATCTCTCCCTTCGATCAGGGAATCACAAGCCATCAAGGCACAACTAATACTGAGCGCTCGTTCGCGCATACGAACACGTGGAAGGAATTGTAAGAGTCACTTTTTCAAGCTAAATCAAAGACATACGATAAGAATTCAAGAATATGAAGTCTTTTCTAAAGGTTCTGCAGCCTCTCGAGGATAAATACAGACGTCTCCGTACCGATCCGCGAGACTCTACTAAACCGGCTCATGACTTGCGAGACCAATTAACCTAGGCTCTGATACCAACTTGTCACGACCCCAACCCGGGCCGTGATGGCGCCCAACACAATACTAGGCAAGCCCGACCAATTAACATCTCACAATCTCTTTATTTATAATTCAATACCAATTTTCGGAGATAGATAACAATTTAATATAAATAGAAGTATGAATTTAACAGATGAAATGTGCGGAAACCATAATCACGAAAAATCTCTATAAAATAGCCCACTGATCCGGTGTCACAATTCTGAGCCTCTAATACAAGTTTCAACAATCTAATACAGAAATATGTCTAAAATGCAGAATAATAAGTGGAGATAGAAGGAGAAATCGGGTCTGCGAACGCCATGCAGCTACCTCGATAACTCCTATGAAAACTGAACGGCAGGAAAGCTCGCTTTATGCCTCAAGAATACCTGTACCTGCACACATGGTACAGGGAGTAACGTGAGTACTCCGACCCAGTGAGTAATAAACATAAATAAAAGCTGAGAATAAGAAATCTGGAAAAATACAAAGTAAACTATAACTGGCAGTTTAGAACAACAAATAGTGAAGCAACAAGTCAATTAAGTAAGAGTACCAAATACTGAGACAGGTATAACAGATAAAAACTAATGCATGAGTGCAATGCAATTCATATGATGGTACACTCTAGTACCCAATGCGGCGTTCAGCCCAAACCATCCATTTATTTATCATCGACGGCGCTCACTAGGGGTGTGTGCAGACTCCGGAGGGGCTCCTACAACCCAAGTGCAATATCAAGCCATCTCGTGGCATCAAATCTAGGCCCTCGGCCTCATATCAATCTCAGTATAGTCAACCAGGCTCTCGACCTCAATATCAATGTACTCAATCAGGCTCTCGGCCTCAATATCAATGTAATACTGCTGGGCGCGCAGCCCGATCCATGCTCAGTCCAGAAACCATCATAAGCCCCTTGGGCATTTGTAAAACNTAATTCCAATTTCTTCCATTTAAATCCGAATTAAACGATTAACATAACCATGTATTTATGAAATATAATCACTTTCGGATATAGAACACTTACCCCAAATGTTTCCCTTGAAAAATCTGTTGAAAATCGCTTTTCCCAAGCTCTACAATCGTCACAAATGAATAAAAATGGATAATTCCCGAATATAAGTTGTTTTCCAGGCAAGTCGCATCTATGAAATGCGACTTGCACTTATTTCCAGCCAAAACAAAAACTAGTCTCAGCCTTCACTAAATCTGTCATAACCTTTTGTACAAATATCGGAATGATGAATGGTTTAAATTTTTAGAAACTAGATTACAAGGGCAACAACTTTCATGTTTTGCAAATGTTCAGATTCCTTATGGATTTCGAGGTATAAGCTTCCAAAGTAACCCCCTCGCATCAAACATTTCTGGAAAATTTCAAAACAGCTTTACCAACCCTTATTCAATCTATCATAACTTTCTGTATAAATGTCAGAATAATTAATGGTTTAGCCTTCTGGAAATTAGGATGAAAGAGCTACAACTTTCATGTTTTGTAAATGTACAGATTCCTTATGTATTTTGAGATATAAGCTTCCAAAATAGGCTCCACGATTGCACAGTTGCTGTCCCAAGACAGCTTCTGCAGCAGAAAATTCCAGTAATCCTTTTATCCGATTTCCATTCCGTTAACCTTTCGAAATCCACCCGAGGCCCTCGGGACCTTAACCAATTATACCAACATGTCCCAAAATACAATACAAAATTAACCGTGCGATCAAATCTCCAAAATAACGTCATATACCACGAATTAAGCTTTAAAATCCAAGAATTCCTTCAAATTTCATAAAACATCAAATTTTCCATTTTGAGTCCGAAACACGTCAAACAGCGTCCATTTTCAACCAACTTTACAGAAAGTGCTTAAACCATATATAAGACTTGTACTGGGCACCGGAACCAAAATACGGGCCCGATACCATCACTTTCTAATCAAATTTCATTTCCATTTTTCTTAAATAATTTCAGAAAGCAATTTTACTCAAAAATTCATTTCTCGGTCCTGGGACCTCGGAATTCGATGATTCTTGTTTCTATGAGTCACATATAATAATACAAATATAGCCCTTCAGTCGAAACTCAATTCGGAGCTCATTTGCTTAGGTTAATACCCATTTCGCTTGTTAAATTATTAACTCATGTTTCGCGTCAAAAACCCAATCGCGACTTGATGAAATTAGACCAAACTTTTCAGATCACTCCTTTAATTCATTATTTTAATTCTGGAAATCTTGAAATAAAATTTCGATCTCTAGAACTAAAAATGGACCTTTGGATATTACATGTTTATGCTCAAACGGCAAAAATCTTCCAAAAACTCTTCCAAAACTTATCCGAGCCTCATGGGACCCCGACCAAACATGCCAACATAACTCATAACATTATTCAAACCTCTTCCAATCATCAAAACAACTCAAACAACATCAAATTACCCAAAACTCATTGAATTCAAGCCTAATTTTTTAAAAACTTTCGAAATACACTTTCGATCAAAAACTCAAACAAACCATGTCCGAATGACCTGAAATTTTGCACACATATCCCAAATCACCTAACGAAGCTACATAAACTCTCAGAATTCTATTCCGACTCTCGGATCAAAATCTCACCCATCAACCGGAATTCGCCAAAATACTAACTTTGCCAATTCAAGCCTAAGTCTACACCGGACCTCCAAAATTACTTCCGATCACACTCCTAAGTCACAAATTATCCCCCGAAGCTAACCGAATCATTGGGATTCAAATTCGAGACCTCTAACATATAAGTCAATGTCCGGTTGACTTTTCCAAAACAAACCTTCCTTAAAGAGACTAAGTGTCTCATTTCCTACTAAAACCAATCCAAATCAACTCGTTCACACCCAACACTGATAATGAAGCATAAAAAATAGGAAATGGGGAAAATGGGGCGGTACCTCACGAGACGACGGGTCGGGTCATCACAGCTGGTTCTGTTGATATTATGCCCGATGGGCGATTTACGGTACATGTTTTGCCCGAGGGGCTGTTTACAGTTCTATCATTTTTGCTCACTTTTTTATCACTCGTTTGAAACTATTGAAAGTTGTTTTAAAAGGTTTTACTGAAACTGAGCTTGATTTACGAAGTGAATGGTTTTTGTACTATTTTTAATAAATATATGGTATTTGTTGTAGTGCTATGACGTGAAATTATGTGTTTTCTTACTGCTCAGCTTTCATTTACTTTTATTACTTACTAAGTTGGCGTACTCACATTACTCCCTGCACCTTGTGTGCAGATTCAGGTATTTCTGAACCCGGTAGCGGGTGTTGATTGCTCAATGGCAGAGCCATCGGAGTTAGCAAGGTATCTGTCCGACGTTCACAGCCCTGCTCTTCTCCCTCTTGTCTTCCTTAGACTGTTTTTAGTTTATTTTCAGAATCTTCGTTATATTCAGAACTTAGTAGATACTTGTGACTTGTGACACCCTGATGTCGGGCTGTATCTATTTCCGCACTTGTTCTATTTCGCTAAATTTATACTTGTTGGGGGTTTATTATTATAAATGACTTAAATCGACCTATTAAATTGTTAAAAATAAATTTGAAAATTGTGTTGGCTGGCCTTGTCTTCACGAGAGGCGCCATCACGACCGGGTCCGGTTTGGGGTCGTGACAGAACTATTGTCCAATCTAAACTATTTATGAATTTATTCCTCAAGTGGTTGTGAAGATGGTGATTGTGATTTTTATTAACTAACTTACTACAAAACTAATAAGAAAATAAGATCGCAAGTAGAGCAAACAAACAAATACTTAGAAAGAATTCAATGAGATGGGAATATTCCGGGGTTATGGGATTAACGTCTCTCCTAGTGAGTTCTTTCGGTTAATTTAATCACTTGATTTATCTAATTTATTGATTAACAGGGTTTATTATACTCGCTACGTTCTTTCGACGCTACGTTCTTTCGACGGTTCGCTCGCCTATTCAAGCTAACTTAATACTTTATGTCCATAGAATTAGAATTAGCAAGAATGCATGTAGATTTCCTGCGAAATAACCAAGAAAGGCAACTAGAATATGTCTATCCTAATCGCGAAGCTATTCTCCGATACCCGGATTCAAGAACTTACTCGATTCAATCTTATATGCAATCTATAGTTCCCACTTTTGTATTCAACTATAAATTCGTAGATAATAGTCTATTGTTAGCAACAAAACAATATAATTAAGTGCAAGATTGAATAAACAAATTAATATGATAAACCAAGCAAAGCAATCAACCCTCAACTACAATAATCAATAACGACCTATAACCCTAGAATAATGTGGTTCTTAACCACTCATGATAAAGTTAAACAATTTCATAGCTGTTGAATAGTTGAAAATACTAAGAAAGATGAAGAAAAACTAAGAATCCTTGCTCCCAAATATTTTGTTCTTGTGTTTTCCCCTCAAAGTGGCGTCTCCCCCTCCAAAAAGGATTAGACTTATTTTTATACCAATTGGGGGTGTGCATGGTCGAAATAACCTTGTCCCGAGCAAAATAGGAGAATTCCCGTCACCCAGCACCCAGGGTAGCGCATCGCGCTAGCCTGGCGCTAAGTTGTGCCCAAAAGTTTTCAGGCCTGCAAGTTGTGGCCCGGGCAGCGCAACGCGCTGGCTTGGGCGTTGCATTGGGCCTTTTTCTTATTTTGTTCTCTTTTTTGCTTCAATTCGTATACTTTTGTCTCGCATTGCCCCTCGGGTGACTCCTACACATAAAAAATCGTGAATTAGAATAAATCATTACATTACAATAAAATGTGAGGCGATATGCATATAAATATACATAATTTAAGCCGAATATCAAAAGGTCTCGATTTAAATATGGTGATTATCTATAATTAAGAAATTACCTTCTATGTTTTCCCTTTACTTTCTATAGTTTTCTCTATGTTTATAATAAGAATAAAACCCTACTTGTCACGGAAGGAAATTCGGTATTGGTGGCATATGCAGAGATCATAAAGGTAAGCTAACTATGGCGTTTGCTTCTTCAATTGGCAGAACAAATAGTAACATGGCTGAAGCTAGTGCAGCCTTAGCGGGGGTGGAATGGCGTAGTCGCAATGGTTGCAACAAATTATACTGGAGTGTGATTCCCAGCTTGTGGTTGATTTGATCAATGGTAAATCAAAACCTCCTTGGCAAATGCAAGGCATTATCAGACAGATTCAATACATTGCCCGTCAACTCAATTGTGCTATTTGTCATTGTTATAGAGAAGCTAATCAAGTTGCGGATGCATTAGCAAAATGGAGCATTTACAATGAAGAACTTCTTATTTTCTCCCATCATGCTTTTCCTACTTCTGCAGTTGGACCTTACAGATTGGATTACATCTAGATGGTGTCACTAAGGCATAAACATAGGAAGAATACTTTTTTGTGAAGAGTTTTTGTAGGTTATTGTATATGCAATGGTGTATATGCCAAACTGCACAACGCAGTTTTGTTTTTGTATGTAATGCATAAGGGCATGCCACGTAATAATATAGGTCCCTGTAATATTTTTGTACTTTTTGTTGGTTGAATGATAGGGCATGCCACCATACGGCGTAATTGATATAAAAAAAAAAAAGCCCTGCTTGTCAAGGATCTATGCATTTCTACATGGAAAATGGAAGTTCCAATGAAACATACTTTCAGGGCAATATTAGTTATTGTTTATTACAACTTATAGTACTAGACTACAACAAAAGTAACTACAAGTACATATGCCTAGTCAAGAGCAATTTCTCTTTTTGAGTTCCTAGGAGGATCTTGGGAGTTCGAAATTAAAGAGAACTTATTGGCCTAGTCAAGAGCAATATTTTACGAATTTCTTTTATACAAAGTTAAAATCTTTGAAGAGATTACCACATATTATAACCTTAAAAACACGCATAAGATCTCAGTTTACATGTAAAGTTTATGGCGTACCATGTTTGAAATTGTCTAATAACTTAAAACGTAAAAAGTACTTCTGAGATCTCTCATTAATAGGTACAGTTATTTAAAATAACTTAAAACGTAAAAAGCACTTCTAAGATCAACGTAAAAAGCACTTCTGAGATCTCTCATTAAAAGGTACAGTTATTTAAAATAACTTAAAACGTAAAAAGCACTTCTGAGATCTCTCATTAAAAGGTACAGTTATTTAAAAAGCACTTATGAAATCTGTTATTAAAAAGTACAGTTATTTAAAAAACACTCATGAGATTTGTTATTAAAAAGTACATTTGTTTAATTTTTGTGTAGTCGTGCGCAATAGAGACGTCGGATTCGAAATTATTCTAATGCACTCTCGTTACTTTCAGGGTTTATTTTAAAATATTTGATTAATTCAATATACATATTCCCTAGAAAGTTAGTATTTCACATGATCTCTCTCACTAAATCAAGGATTATTTATAACTGTCAAAAAAAAAAAAAAAAAAAAAAAAAAAAAAAAAAAAAACTCTATTATAAGAGATTGCTTCTTCCTCTCTCCATCAAATGACAATAAATCCAACAAAGAAACAAGAAGAAATATATGAAAACGAATAATAACGATAAGAAAATGAAGCAGCTACAGTACTATATTATCAAGTTTTTTTCCTATGGAACTCTCAGATCTAATATTAGCTGATTCCATTCTTCAAAGCATATTAAATCAAAGGTTATCAATGACATTCTGGTGAAAAGAAAATTAATTTTTTTCCACGCTTCAGATAAATCAACTTCTTATAAAAAGAAAATCCCACAAAAATATACCTAATCTTCCAATGTACAGCAATAATTTTTTATTTTTTTTGATTTGGAAGGATGATTTATATAATAATTATTCGAGTTCAATAAATGCCATGATGCTTATCTTAGCATCTAAATTTCCATATAATCAACATCGTTTTGCTAATTCTGCCAATATTAATTCCTTAAAAAAAAAATAAGACAATAACAACATACTCCGGATGATCCCATATGTGGAATTTTGGGAGAATAAGATATATACAGACCTTATCCCGACCTTTTGTGAGGTAGAGAGGCTGGTTCAAGCAAAGGAATCACCATAAAATCCTTATAAATAGTTATAAGCAAAGGAGTACTAAGCACATAAATTCACAATCCAAATGAATCACCTTATAAAATCATACGAACAAACATCTCTCTTTTGCCGTTTTATTGGAGAAAGAAGTCATTATTTGCTGATGCAGCATCATCATGATTCTCATATTCAAAAAAAACTTAGGGGTGGCAGATTTTTAGAAACATATTTTCTGCTCCACATGATTTCTATGTGAATCTTGATAATGCTGCAGCTGCAAGTAACAACTGTATGTCAATCAATGTACAATCCGCTTAAGGAAAAAGGGCCAATATTCCTGGAACCGGATGATATAATCAGATCTGGAGCCAGAATTTTTACCAAGGAATTCGACATATTAAAAAGTAAACACACGAACAAGACAAGGGGATTCAACCTCTACTATTTATGCATAAATACTAATATTAACCTTATGTATGCAGCATAATTTTTTGGCGAAGCCCATTTTGGATGATCCCCTTCAACCACCCTATTTTCGTCCCTGGACATAACACGCTAAAGATATTTATATTAAGGTAAGATCTACAGTTCAATATAAACATATAGATCCGTAAGAATTTATGGAAGTCAAAAGAAACAAAAGGTATAGAGTCCTGTGGATGGAGGCGAAGAAAACTAATTTTTAACACGGAAAGGAGTTTTAAGGAAATAAACAAAAGGAAAGGGTTTTGAAGACCCAGTTAACAAATGTTTCAATATTAAAGAAAAATAGGACAGGGGAAAAAATAATTAACCTAAACAAATTACCAAGATGTTGGGTTATTAGTAAATCTTTTGAAAGGAAAAACCTTAAGAGAAAACATGTTGAGGAGAAGAGGTTGCTTATATAGAGTTGCTTACCCTTCCTTTCACTGGATGGAGGTTTTCTTTCTTATACGTGGACCAATGAAATTCTAGGGTTTAATAGTCAGTGTATACAATTCTTACACAGGTCATTCATTGGAAGAGGTAGGGGGTATTATACCATGTATATAAAGTCAGAATCTTTTTTATTTATATAATATTTGATGTTGAATTCTCTTAGCTTCTTTATTTATTTATTTTATTTTGAAACCCTTTAGTAAAAATTCTACCTACACCACTAATGTCTCCTTCTTTTCTGTACCATCAAATCTCTTAAAAAGTAATTAAATGTAATTATATATAACAAGTTAAATTAGTAACCTAAAAAAGGTGGCTAACCTTGTATTGCATTAGGTTCAACTACAAATTTAAATTTTCATTATATTGTTAGTGATGTGAGTTAAATCCAAAAGTCTGAGTATACACTCTTCAATTTTCATTTGAGTCTAAGAGTAACTTGGATAAGAGAGGGGATGATATTTATTGGTACATCCCTCTCAATTGAATTCACCATAGAAAGAAAAAGCGTTATAGCATCAATGGTTTGACTTATAAGTAGAAAATTACAAACGATTTTTCGGCTTCAATCTAGTTATGATAAAGAATTGGACTATGTACACACAAGGCCAAAAAACATGTACACACAAGGCAACAATCTTGATTTGATGTCATTGCAAGAAGCAGACGAGTTAACCATAGACTTTGTTTAATGTATATCATGAATTATTTTTGTTTTAGCCATTTTAACTTTATATTGACTTGATTTGCAAAGGTTGGATGAATGGTTTCCCACATAGGAGTCTGGGTTGATTTCCTTCGCCTACGGTCTTCTCAATCAAAGCTTGTTGCTTCAGAGACTTGCCTCGTACGGTTTATATTTTTTGTGTGATTTGTGAGTTATTGCACAATAAATAAATTACTCAATGTGCACCCGAATAATAGCACCCAGATAAGTTTCCAAAAAACATCATATTGACTTGTTTGCCTCAGAACGTATGTAATCAGTAGCGTGTTTCACATCCCAAGTATTAAGAGTTCAATTTTGCATAGAATATATAGTACAGCACTAAAGCTAAAAAATTGAAACAGAAAATTCAGAAGGACGTCACACTTTTATAACAATGATTCTTCTTGTATTAGTCGAAGAAAATAGCACCAGCTCAGAAAATACAGAACGTGAAAAAGGGGGACAAATAATGATTCTTTTCGTATTCGTCTCTAGATCTTTTTTGAGTATATATTTAACTATATATATAATATTACAAAATTCGTACAACAAAAGAAGGTGAAATTATTTTCAAATTTTATCTTTGCTCGCGATTAGTACGTTTAATAGGAGAATTAACATCCTTGATATTTGCTATGTTAGTAAAACATATACTCAGGAGCTAGTGGTATACGTGTCAGTAAATCGGATTTTTATATAAATAGCCGGTCGGATTGACAGTGTTTACTTTAAAATAAGCCCTTATCTCAAATGGTTCCTAAAAATTCTTCCATTATACCACTGGGCAAGAATGCAGTCCTAAAGGTACAAATGAAAGCCTCTTGTTTCAGCATCTTTTTCCTTAATTAACAATCAGGTGATTTCACAAGAATTGAAAGGAATTATGTGCCTGCGTCATCATATACAATACTTTTTCTTGATTTCTCATTCGGTGTACGATATTCGTACTGCAGCCCGACTAAATTTGAATTCAAGCCGGAAAGTACCAAATTATTGAAGGATAAAGTGCTTCCTAATAAATGCAACTTCATATATACTTCAGGTTCGAACCCGAAATCTCTGATTAAAGATGAAAGAATATACTTACCACTTCACCACAATTATTGTTGGTCTGTCGTATACAATACTATGATATGATGTGGATACCCCTTTACTTTAAGGTTCTTTTGTTTGTGTTTATCCTAAAAAAACGGATAACAATTGAATTTATATATGATTTTAAGAATATGCGGATTAATACGATACAAATGATTAATGGCATTAGGTTAAACAAATGAAAGACGTAATAAATTGTCAAACCAATAATAAGAGTGATCCCAGACTCGGTAAATAGCTTAATGAGGAGCCTGCCTTCGAAACCGAGCTTATCCTTATGAAGAACTGATGAACAAAAGTAATAACTTTGAATAACAGAAAGAATAGGAGTATATTGTCTTGATATGCGTGTTACATGTGTCATGAATAAAAATCTTCCCCCTTTATATAGTAGGGGAATTTTACCCCAAGTACAATTCTAAAAAAGGTAAGAATCTTCCGTTTCCCTAACCACTAATTTTCTGTCGATATGGGCTGAGATTCACGCTGTGATAGCCGGGTGGGAACGGATATCATGGTCCTTTGTTAGTCGTGTGAAGCCATATGATGATGTTCTTCGAAGTCTTGAGACTCGGGCGGGACCTGAAGAACGTGATTCTGATGCCTCTGAGGACAGGTGCTTTGCTCGAACCCCGATACGAGGGGTTCGTTGCCCAGGTTCTGATTTCTTACGATCACGTCTCTGCTCTGTTTGTCTTACCCGGAAACCGAGGTATTCAACAAGCTCAGTTTTAACGGTATACAGATAGTCTCATCGTTTCTTAGAGAGTAGGTTTACCGAAACGATGAGAAACAACAAATGCTTTTCGATTCCTTCTTCAATACACCATAACATAAACGACAAAGAAGCCAAAACGTCCCGTCAGTCATGTCATTCGGACTTCGAACACGTGTCAGCCATCAGCAGGTCACCCCTGAATGCGAAGCAACGCTAAATCTCTATAAAAACTTCTATCTTTCGTTCATTTTTCACTTTTTGACCAAGCTTCTACCTTCGAGTTTTCAAGTTATTACTACCCTTCCTCAAACTTTCATATCTCTACCCTTGTTCTTCAAGATTTCCTAGTGAATTCCAAGTTTCTACCCAGATTTTCATTAAATCTTCACCCTTTGTTCTTCATCTTCAAACCTGTTTTTCCCAAACTCTAAATTTTTTCCTCAAATTTTCAAACTCCGCCCCCAAATGACAATGGCCAAAACATTGAAAATCGTCCCCCAACAAGTTGCCTCTCCGTCTTCTCAACCGGCCGCTAGCACTGAAGCGGTTACCCTTGGAGCGGCCACCCTCGAAATGACTTTCCCCATTGTGGTTGTTAACGAACCGGCCCCCGAGTCTCCCCTGAGAGCGTTCATTCCCGAGGGTTGCTCAATTGCATATGACTTTAAAGTCGAGAAGCCTTTGAGAAAATAGGACCGACGTGAAGGAGTCTCAAGGTACATATGTTCCGTGACCGAAGACGTTCTTCCCATAGTTCGAAAAGATTGCAAATGAGAAGGTAAGGACGTAGTAGTCCCCGGGCCCGAGGATGCTATTACTACCCACGTGGAGGGATACTTAAGTGTTTATACTTACCCCTTCATATTGGGTCCAGTGGATCCGGTTATTCTGAATTTTTGCAAGAGGTATGAGGTGTGCCTCAGGCAACTCTATCCATTGTTATGGAGGATTGTGATTCTACTACTTCGTGAATAAGATCGTATCTCGTCAGTTCATGATCGACCACCTGCTTCGATTATACAGTCACTGAATGTTCCAATGGGGGCTGACTCAAGCTTACTCGCCGGGCCAGCAAAGCCCCCTTCTCGAGCATCGATGAAGACTAAGACTGGGGCTGGCAAGGACGCTTTGTTTGAGTGAAGACCGAGAATTTGATCACCCTGGAATACATGTCATTCCCCGAGAAGTGGAATGCATCTCGTAAATGCAATCTCCCTTTAAAAGCCAAAATTCATTTTCTTCAATTTCTCCCTTTTCATTTATGTTTGTGATTATCCAGCTGTCGCCTGGGTTCCGAATGCGGTTCCCAGGCTAAAGGAGTATATTGAGGACGTATGTATTCAGATGTCGTACTTTGAGCGCACATGGCGCGGACTCTCGAGGGGCCAATGGGAGGCCTGTTCTCATAGTAAGGTCACTCTCCCGAATAAGAAACATTAGGCTCCTTTTTTTTCTCATACTCATTCTCATTTCCTCTCTTTTGTTTTTGCAAGTTTGCCCAAGACCACTAAACTTAGGCCTTTAGAAGGAGGAGACGAGAATGCACCCTTGTCTGTTGATCCCTCCACTTTGGGGCAGCTCGGGGCTGCAGCGGGGGATAAGAAGAAGAAGAAAAGGAAGGCTCCAAGCTCCCCGAGCTCTGCAGTGAAGCCAAAAAAGAGATTGGATCGAATGTCAAAGAAAGACTCTGGTTCCCGAGCACCGGACTCAGATTCACTACTTCAGCTCAGGGATGAGCCCGAAGAAGATGATATTTTTGTGGCCCTTGGGCCGATCTCCCCCTAAGAGCAGGCAGCAACCGGGGAGATGCTAGAGGCCGATCACCCTCAGGCTCGGGAGATCAATGTGGAGGTGGGGGATGAGAACCCCCGGGATGTTGGCTCCGCTCCACCCGGTATAATAGTGATCCTAGGGTCTCCCTCATACACCGAGTCCATGCTCGAGGAGGCCTGAGCAGGAAAGGAGAGGTCTAACGAAGGGGCTCATGGCATGGACGATCCCCTTCGTTCCTTTTTCGATAGCGTGGACTCGACCGTTATGGAAGATTTTTTGGGATTGGGAGACCTGGAAGTGCTGAGAAAGAATTCGTGTTCAGAATTTGGTGGGTTGAATTCGAGCCTAAAGTTAATCAACTAGGTCCCTGCCCCGAGTATGGATCCCGACCATAAAAGGTCGATAACCATCACTATCCTATAGGATGCCCCGGTTCTTTCTATTCCCGTGGGAGTAGCGAGTTACCTCCAATGCCTAGTGACCGAGGAGGACCAGGCAAAAATGAATGAGGTGGACGTGCCGTGCCTTTTCAATGAGGCGTAGCATGCGCTGAATCGGGTAAGGCATCATTATGATCTTTTGAACTTTTACTTTGTTTTTGATATTTCTTATGTTTTTTCACCCTTTTG